TACAGAGATAGAAAGTAAAGTAGTGGTTGCCTGGAGCTGAGATGTGTGGAGGACTTGGCAGTGGGTCTGGGTGTGGGGTGGTGACAATGGCTTAAGGGCACAGGCATGAGAGAATGTTCAAAGAGTGATAGCAGCGCTAACTGCGCCCCCCTGTGAAAATACTAAAAACCATGAATTGTACCCTGAATGGGTGAACTGCCTGGCACGTGAAGAAAAACTCAATAATAAGAAGAAGAATAGCCAAAACCGGTTTGGCTCAGTGGATAGAACATTGGCCTATGGACTGAAGGGTCCCGGGTTCGATTCCGGCCAAGGGCATGTACCTTGGTTGAGGGCACATCCCCAGAAGGGGGTGTGCAGGAGGCAGCTGATGGATGTTTCTCTCTCATGGATGTTTCTAACGCTCTATCCCTCTCCCTTCCTCTCTGTAAAAAAAAAAAAAAATCAATATTAAAAAAAAAGAATAAGAAAAGAATAAGAATAATAGAGTGTTGTGCTGTGATTACACCACCACGTTGAAAAGGATCCCATTCCTTTCCCCTCCCCATTCCAGAAAACCTTAGCAGGAACGACCTCTGGAAGTGGGACCTGAGGCCCCATCTCTGTGTCTCTCGGCCTCCCTGCTTCCCTTTTCGGGAGAAGCACCACCAGAAGCACCAGGCTCCCTTCCCCCGGAGAACAAGCGAAACAGAACGCAGCGCTGGGCCCGGAGTGCTGGTCAGGCGGAGCTCCGAGCAGCTCCGGTTTCCGAGGAGAGAACTGAATGTGCATGGCGGAGGAAGTGACTCGGCTGATAATGCCAACGTGACCGTGACCGTGACGGTGACGGTGACCGTGACCGGGGGTGGGCGAGGACGCAGAGCCGGCCCAGGTGCCCTTCCGAAGGCTGGGGGAGGGAGGGGAGCCTGGGAAGGCGAGCATCTCGGCGGGAAGGAAGCCAGAGGCGCTGCCCAGGCCGGGCTCTGAATGCCCGTCCATTCAGGCCGGGCTGGAGGACCAGCCTGTCCCGGTTACACCAGGACAGAGCCCGCCTCTCCATGGGGGCCCTGGCGCCCGGCCCTTCTCCTCCCGCTCACCGCACACAGGCTCAGGCACCTGCCTGGCCACACCGAGAAGCAACTTCTGTCTTAAAGCGACGTGACCCACGTGTACTTTGTAAAATTAAAAATATTTAAAATTTTATAATAGTTTTTTTTGTTGTTTTCTGGTTTTTAAAAACAAACAAACATATTTTTATTGTTTTTTTACAGAGAGGAAGAGAGAGGGAGAGAGAGCTGGAAACATCGATGAGAGAGAAACATCGACCAGCTGCCTCCTGCACACCCCCCACTGGGGATGTGCCCGCAACCAAGGTCCATGCCCTTGACCAGAATCGAACCTGGGACCCTTAAGATTGGAACATCTGTAAGAGTATCCTCTCTGTAAGAAAATCAATAAAAAAATATATATATTTTAAAAAAATCATTTCCTGCCTTCAAATGACTTTCACCTTTTCCAGAATGAAGCATGGTGCAAACCGACCTCTACCCATCACCGCAAGGACGGACTTTATATTCTATGTAACCCTTCCCTGTCACCTGCACCATGGCTCGCCATGTACAGGATAAATAACACAGAAATCCCAAATGTCAGTCTGAACAAAGCCTTCTGAATGCACTTGTTCAAAATCTAGCCCACCGCTCCATTAGGCAAAAGGAAACAGATAAACTGGGAGCATTTGGTATGAAAGGAAAAACACAACTTCAACCCCTAAAAAAATAAATACAAAAATACAAAAATGGTACAACATGTGATTTTTGTTTCTTAAATGCCAAATATAACTCACTGTAGTTGGTACCTCCTGTACTTTCCAGGCTATTCGGCGACTGCACAGCGAGTTAAAAAAATAAGCCAAGGCAAAACAGGTCTGTCACCCACCCTTTTCCCCTGAGAAATGGGAATAGTAAACGCATATGGAGCACCTTGCAAAGGTCAGCACGAGGAGCCCAAAGGACGCTGCCTTTTCATTCGTTTTATTAAAGAACGTGTTTGAGGATTTAGAGGATTTAGGGAGGAAGGGAGTGAGGGAGAGAGAATTGCGGAATTATTGGTTTTGGTAAAAAAAAAAAAAAAAAAAAAAAAAAAAGGTTGGTGGCGTTCAAATCCTGCCCTGGAGACGCCCACGTGCCTCAGTGGCCATGGACTCCCCCCCACACCTTCCCCATCACTCAGAGAAGCTCCCCCTTTTGTTTCTCCCTATTTTATGCACCCAACTTCTGAAAACATTCTTGGAACAAAAGTGCCCGTGACTTTTTTTTAAAAAGTCTGAAAATCACCAAGAAGGACCAACCAACGTTCAATGGGCAATATGGACGTGAACCCCCTCAAAACACAATAAAAAGAAGCATTCGCTATGAAAAAGGAAATGGTTTTAGAAAACGGGAAGACACTCAGAAGCAGGCGAGGCGAGTATCTGCAGCTGCTTTATCGCCACGAGCAAGTGTTTCTCTTGCTTCTGGTCGCAGACGCGTTGGGCCTGTTACCGTGTTTCCCCGAAAATAAGACATCCTCCGGAAATAAGACCTACTTACAGGCTTCCTTCTGAGTGAAATATAAGGCACCCCCCCGAAAATAAGGCGCCCTTCCCTCTAGGCTAAACATGAGAGATTTGGTCCACTGATTCTGAAAGAAATGGAGTCACAAGAAATTCACCAGGAAACTCAGGAATTGGATTGTTAGGATGATGTTCCAGAAGAGGATGACATGATCATCATTGAATAAATGAGTCAATTCTTGATACTGTAGGATTCACAGTTTGTCTGGTTTGTGTTGACAACGACCGTACTGCCGTACCATATACAGGTAATAAATTTCCTTTATTTTCATTTAACAATAAATGTGTACCGTATTCTTCTTCGTGGAAAAATAAGACATCCCCTGAAAATAAGACCTAGCGTATCTTTGGGAGCAAAAATTAATATAAGACTGTCTTATTTTCGGGGAAACGGGGTATTTGTTCAGGGAGGAGACACGGAGGTTCACCTCTTTGAACTTGGCTTTGGCAGGTGGACAATGGGTGGCCTTAGCCAGGAACTGGCTGGGAGCCCAAAGCCAACAGTGGTGGGAGAGCCCAGATCTCGGTATGTTTGTGTAAGTGGTGGGAGGGGGCCTGCAAGATCAACCAGGGGTACAGCACAGACCTCACCTACTCCATGGAGACTTACAGAAAAACGCCAGTCCTTCCCCACGGACTGTTCTGATTCTTAGCATCGATCACCACCTAGGCCTCCACTTCCAAACCAGTGAATGGCATCAGAAACCAGAAATCAGCCCTGGCTGGTTTGGCTCCGTGGATAGAGCATCGGCCTGCAGACGGAAGGGTCTCCCAGGGTTCGATTCCAGTGGAGTGCCCAGGCCAGGGCTGTGGGCTGGATCCCCGGTAGGGAGCTTGAAAGAGGCAGCCAACCAATGATTCTCTCTCATCACTGATGTTTCTATCTCTCTCTCTCTCTCTCCCTCTCCCTTCCTCTCTGAAATCAATACAAAAATTTTTTTTTAAATCAGAAATTAGTGTTTCACCTATAGTAATTCAGGAAACGTCATTTCTAAAGAGATCAGACTATGAAAAACGCCCACCCAAGGCTTTGTTTTCTCTCATGAAACAGCGATGAGTCCAAAAGCCTCTTCGCCAATGACTTGGGCCAGGGGCCGGCAAACTCCTGAGTCCACAGAGCCAACGATCCACAGGACAACGATCGACATGTCTCTGGAGAGCCACGTTTTTTAAATTTCAACGTCTCCTAACGCCACTTCTTCCACATAGACTCGCCCAGGCCGTGGTATTCTGTGGAAGAGCCACACTCAGGGGGCCCAAGAGCCGCATGTGGCTCGCGAGCCGCAGTTTGCCGACCATGGACTTGGGGCCATGACTCACGGAGATGACAAGGATGGACCAACTTCTTCACCCCCCTCCCTCTCTCCTTTAAAAATACATACATTTTGTTCATGGGATATTTATGTCCTATGGGTCACTATGAAATACACGGTGCCGGCGAGAGTAATCACAGTTGTAATTGTTTTATATACAGCATTTGTTTGCTGATAATAAAAGCGATCTCCCCAAAGAGAACAAATACATTGGTGTACTTCTTTTTTCTGTTCTTTAAACAAAAATAGAGTCCCTCTCTGACACATATACAGTCTTAAAACCTAAAGGGTTTTTATTTTATTTTTATTAAGTGTATTATTTCTACATTGCTGTCTAACCACCATGCAGTCAGGGGAGATGCAATTCACAGCTAATACCACCTGAGGGCGCTCCTAAAATTGTGAAACAACTTTCAGGATCAAATTGTTCATGACTGGGATGCAAGAGACCTCGTCCTACTTGAGGTTCAAGGCCTCCGTAGAGGCTAAAAAACATGCTTCAGAAACCACGGATCTCTTCATAAAATCTGAGGTGAAGACAAATGGGCATAATTTTGATTACTGCATCGTCTCTGGGCCTCATGTCCTTGCGACAAAAGTTGAGGTTCTAAAGGAGGAACAGAACTAGGTCGCTTTCCAAGGAAAGCATTTAAAAATGACCAATGAAGCCCTAGCCGGCTTGGCTCAGTGGATAGAGCATCAGCCTGTGGACTGAAGGGTCCCAGGTTCGATTCCGGCCAAGGGCACATGCCTGGATTGCGGGCTTAATCCCCAGTATGGGGCGTGCAGGAGGCAACCAATCCATGATTCTCTCTCATCATGGATGTCTCTCTCTCTCTCCTTCTCCCTTCCTCTCTGAAATCAATAAATATATAATTAAAAAAAAATGACCTATGAACCAAACTCATACAACTGTCCTTCCAGAATCCATCTTTACATCAACCAATAAAAAGTCCACATCTCTGCAAAGAATACGAGAAGTTCAAGAATGACTTCACATACATGCATGATTTACAAGTTGGTCAGAAAAGGTCTGTGTTAACAAAGAGATGACACTTCAGTTCAAGAAAACAAGTCAACCGAGGGCCCCTTACCTGCTTCCTGCGAATTCAACACTTCTAAGGCATGCATCATGGCGCTTGCAAAGACATTGGCATCCTCTTTGCTGCCAAAGTTGAGACCGTACACCTGTCTAGCGTCTCGCCACTGGTGGAAGGTCTGTGTAGCTTGATTGTACTTCAACCCTTTAGGAATGGCACAGTTGATCACCACCTGAAAGACAGTAATTCTTTATTTAGATCAAACTGATACATGGCAACACCCACAAAGTCAAAAATCCTGATTGAGCCGAAACCGGTTTGGCTCAGTGGTAGAGCGTCGGTCTGCGGACTGAGGGGTCCGGGGTTCAATTCCGGTCAAGGGCATGTACCTTGGTTGCGGGCATATCCCCAGTAGGGGGTGTGCAAGAGGCAGCTGATCGATGACTCTCTCTCTCATCGATGTTTCTAACTCTCTCTCTCTCTCCCCCTTCCTCTCTGTACAAAATCAATAAAAAATATATTTAAAAAATAAATAAAAAAATAAATAAATAAACACCATTTCTGAGTTAACAGCAGTTATTTTATATTTTGATTGATTTATTTTTTAAATATATATTTTATTGATTTTTTTTACAGAGAGGAAGAGAGAAGGATAGAGAGATAGAAACATCAAGGAGAGAGAGAGACATCGATCAGCTGCCTCTTGCACGCCCCCCACTGGGGATGTGCCCGCAACCAAGGTACATGCCCTTGACCGGCATCAAACCTGGGACCTTTCAGTCCACAGGCCGACGCTCTATCCACTGAGCCAAACCGGTTTCAGCTGATTTTTCCTTTTTAATCTTTATTGTTGAAAGTATTATATGTCCCCTTTGTTCCCGCTGCATCTGTTCCAACCCATCCCCACCCCAGGCCTTAAATTTCCATTTTGTTCTTTCTTTTTTTTCAAGGATCCTGTTCTCTGCTGAAATCCTCAATCTGTCTTGTATTTCCTTGAATGTACTAAGCGTCGTTATTTTACAGTCACTTCCTGATCGTTCCATTAACTAGATCCCAGGGGTCTGTCTGTCTACGGCTGTTCCTTTCTCCTCTCTCCTCGAGTGCCTGGGTATTCTGACCGAGTGCCAGACACTGCATGTGGACAATTTTAAGGAAATGTTGATGCCTACGATGATGATATTTCCCCAAAACCCTCCCGGGGAAAATGCACATTGGCTTCTGGCAAACAGCTAGGGTAGTGGATAGTTTTAAATCACCTTCATCCAAAAGTAATGGTCTAATTCTGAGTCAAACTTCTCCCCAACATATGGGAGGGACTCTGGGTCCTAAACCATGGCCTGTGAGGCTACCCACACACCCCTCCCTCATTCACAGGGCCTCACTCCCCTGCCGGCTCTCCTAGTCCCCTGACTCAGCCCCAAACCTGCTTCGTTTCTCAGTTTCCTCTTTCAAAACTGACACAAGGTGCCCTGACTGGTTATGGGCATAAAGCTATTCGAAATATCTTCCCGCAACTTACTTTCTTAGTATATCTACATCTCTTTCCCAATCCTAATATTGTTTATTTATAACTTTTTTTTTTTTCTGCTTGATGCTGCCAATTTTTCTGTTCAGTAGGGCAGCTTCTGTGTTAACAAGTTCTATTTATTCTTAGTGTTTCCTTCTGCTACCCTCTTAAGCTCATTATATGTCATTAGGATTTTGCCCAGCGAAGGACAGCTTAGACGTCCCACAGGTTCCTATATATAAGATCTTGTCACTCAGGGCTAAGCTTTTTCTTTCTAAACATTTTCTAATCTTCAGAATGCTTTCGTATGAGTGTCGAGGATTATTTAGAAGTGTTTCCAAATTTACAAACATTTTAAAAAACACTCTATTGGTCAAAAACTAAAAAGTCACCGGACAGCTTACTTATCTTATAGATAAAGATCTCAATGTTTTCGCCCTAATCAGTTTGGCTCAGTGGACAGAGCATCGGCCTGCAGACTCAAGGGTCCCAGGTTCGATACCGGTCAAGGGCATGGACCTTCATGTTGCGGGCACATCCCCGGTAGCGGGGTATGCCAGGAGGCAGCTGATCGATGTTTCTCTCTCATCGATGTTTCTAGCTCTCTCTCTCTCTCCCTTCCTCTCTGTAAAAAAATCAATAAAATATATTTTTAAAAAACAAACTCAATGTTTTCATTTGGAAATTGCCTGCCTTGTGCAGGCGTCTTTATAATTATTATTTTTAAAATATATTTTATTGATTTTTTTACAGAGAGGAAGGGAGAGGGATAGAGAGTCAGAAACATCGATGAGAGAGAAACATCGATCAGCTGTCTCTTGCACACTTCCCACCCGGGACCTTTCAGTCCACCGGCTGACGCTCTATCCACTGAGCCACACTGGTTTCGGCTTTATAATTATTTTTAAACTAGAAGCCCGGCGCATGAAATCGCGCAGCCCCGCCCACCCGTGCCGGTCTTTGGTCCTTCCAAAAATCGGGACTTTTTGAAAACGCCGTGAGACGCAGGACAAATTATTAAAAAGTGGGACTGTCCCGCCAAAAGCGAGATGTCTGGTCATCTTACATAAGATGGCTCGGAGATTGCCACCGGACGCTCACCTGGTGGTCCTGGATCTTCCTGCCCACCACGCGGAAGGTGTTGTTGCCCGTGTGATGGTAGATGTGGACTCGGCTGAACCCCGTGGAGCCTCCGGCTGGCACCCACTTCTTATTGGCATCGTCGTAAACCATCACAGCCGCGCGTGCCTGACAGATACTCTGTTCACTGTTAGGACGAGCAGAGGGAAAAGGAAAAAAGCAAACATGAGACATTTAAACTAGGCTACGTGGCCCACAGAGCCGTATAAATCAGAGTTGGCCGACTCAGCAGTCCCTCAACCATTAGGTGCCAGAAACAAGGGAACAATGGCTCCATCCCTTTCCCTTCCTCTCCGTAAAAAATCAATGAAATACATATTTTTAAAAAATTAAAATAGAAAAAAATAAACTATGGCATCCGAAGGCTGGAGAGAGGTGACTGTTTAAAGACCACAACACAGTTACAATTCTGTGACTTGGTCCAGTAACTCATTCCTGAATACAATCGAATTTCCTGAACAGGTATCGTTGCCAAATTCTATTTTCTCCGGTACCAAGTGGATGGAAAGCATCCTGGTGGTCAAGCACATTGAGGACGGCTCGGCTATTCCGGGAGGTGCTATGTATCGAGGTCGCAATCAAGGCGAGTCTTTGGAAATAGCAACTTCCTTTCAAAGCTGTCACTCACTAATCGTTACCTGTCAAAGCTTTAAACACTTGTCCAGTACCTGACTCCATCGAATGCAATCCTACCTATCGAGACCTGGATCCAACATCGAGACTGTGCTTGTAACTGTGCCACTGAAACATCCTACAGACGGACACCATGTGGGTATACAGAACTTCTATGAAAGGAAGTGAATGTTCCAGCAAGTTCCTAATAAAGGTGGGGTCTCTAAAAAAAAAAAAACTGTGGGACAGCCGAAACTGGTGTGGCTCAGTGAATAGAGCGTCGGCTTGGGGACTGAAGGGTCCCGGGTTCGATTCCGGTCAAGGGCATGTACCTTGGTTGCGGGCACATCCCCAGTGGGAGGTGTTTAGGGGGCAGCTGATCGATGATTCTCTCTCGTCAATGTTTCTGGCTCTCTATCCCTCTCTCTTCCTTTCTGTAAAAAGTCAATAAAATATATATTTTTTAAATAATTTATTTTTAAAAAAAATTTTTTTTTAAATAAATAAACTGTGGGACAAATATAAAAAGGTCTTACATTCTCTCTCAGGCCTCACGTTCTCTCCCCGCGTTACAGAAGCCAACGCTGAAACTTTGGAGCTAAAAGACGGACATCACTTTAGGAAAGACAAAAATAATAACGTGGGCTTCTCATCCCCGGGTGAACAGGAAAAGCAGCTTCAGGATGAACACGGACGGTATGAAGCAGGCGAACGCAGGCAAAGGTCTGTGTCCCTTTTAAGGGCACCAAACCTGAACTAGTTCCGTTAACCCACCGCTGCTATCCCATGAGATACGGGGGCTTCTGCTATCAGGCAGGTTTACGAAATACTAAATAGCTTTTCTCCTTTTATATTGCGTTAAAAACAAAACAACACAAAAAAAAAAAAAGCTTGTGAATAAGAAGGAAAGGGAAAGCCGCTTGCTAGTAACAAGGAGGTGCTGTCACGGCGCACAGAGGGAGGGATGCAGGAAAACACTGTGAATGTCGCTGACAAGCAACAGACCGCAAATAACGGCAGCACACACACTTGTCTGCGAGGCAAGGAGACCATCTGGGAGGCAGCCGTTCCAAATATGTAGGAAGGCAAAGTCTCCCATCAAGACCACACAGTTACCTATCACTCAAGTTTCTAAGAAATACTAAATGGCTTTAATAATAATAATAGTAATAATAATCATCTACACTAATATAAGAGTAACATGCTAAATGACCGAACCTCCGCGATGCCCACTAGCCAATCAGAAGTGAGTATGCTAATTAACCCAGCAAAGAGGGAGGGTTCATTTGCACACACAGGCACCGAGCAGCCAGGGGCTGGGCAAGACACTTGCGTTGTTGTGACCACGCAGGCATTTTGCACCACCCCAGCTGCTCCAGCGCTTCTGGACAGCATAATAAGTGCATCGGGGCCGAAACCAGTTTGGCTCAGTGGTAGAGCATCAGTCTGTGGACTGAAGGGTACCAGGTTCGATTCCGGTCGAGGGCATTTACATTGGTTGCGGGCACATCCCCAGTAGGGGGTGTGCAGGAGGCAGCTGGTCGATGTTTCTTTCTCATCGATGTTTCTAGCTCTCTATCCCTCTCTCCTCCTTTCTGTAAAAAATTAATAAAATATATTTAAAATATATATATAAATAAATAAAAATAAGTGCATCAGGGTAAATAAGTTGTGTGTGCGTGTGTGATTAGATATGTGATAAAGCAAGAATCGTCAGCCAAAACCGGTTTGGCTCAGTGGACAGAGCGTCGGCCTGTGGACTGAGGGGTCCTGGGTTTGATTCCGGCCAAGGGCATGTACCTTGGTTGCGGGCACATCCCCAATCGGGGGTGTGCAGGAGGCCGCTGATGGATGTTTCTCTCTCATCGATGTTTCTAACTCTCTGTCTCTCCCCCTTCCTCTCTGTAATGAATCTTCAATTGTTAATACAGAATCAAGGCTGTGACTATACAGATTTTTAGTGAATTCATCTTCCCACAGTCCTCCCGTGTTAAATTTTTCACAATTAACTGTTGGGAGTAGGATGGGGAGGTAAACTCCTGAGCAGCCTTCCCTTCACAAAGGAGCTAATTTATTCCCCGATTTCCCACCCAGGACAGAAACGACGTAATGTAACACACGCTCTCAATGAACGAGAAGACAAAAGACGGGCAAAGTGTGTTCTGTTTCCCCGCATTCACTCCGATCTGTGCTCCGCTGTGTTTTCGGCTGAATGGGCAGGAGACAATGCGTGGCCGAACATAACCCTGTGTACGGGGCAGAGGGAGGAATCCCATCCCTCCACCACCCGCCACCGTGAACAGTCCCACGCACAGTGTGCAGCCGAAATCTGTTCCAAAGTTCCCTCTCTCGTCTCCCACGTGCCAAACCCACCTAGACAGCTGCCTCGTAAGTGTTTCTAACCCGAGATCACAAACCGACCTCAACATGCAATCTAACCAAAACCGGTGTGGCTCAGTGGATAGAGCACTGGCCTGCGGACTGAAGGGCCCCAGGTTCGATTCCGGTCAAGGGCATGTGCCCTGGTGGCGGGCACATCCCCAGTCGGGGGTGTGCAGGAGGCAGCTGACCGATGATTCTCACTCATGGGTGTTTCTAACTCTCTCTCTCCCTTCCTCTCTGTAAAAAAAATCAATAAAGCCGAAACCAGTGTGGCTCAGTGGACAGAGCATCGGCCTGGGAACTGAAAGGTTCCAGGTTCGATTCCGGTCAAGGGCATGTATAATACGTTGGTTGTGGGCACATCCCCGGTAGGGGGTGTGCAGGAGGCAGCTGATCGATGATTCTCTCTCATCGATGTTTCTAGCTCTCTATCCCTCTCTCTTCCTCTCTGTAAAAAATCAATAATATATATATATATATATATATATATATATATATATATATTTTTTTTTTTTTTTTTTTTTTTTTTTTTTTTTTTTAAGTTGAGACACCTACGCATGTGAGACTCAGGTACCCTGGATACCGAGCGAAACCACACTTATTACCAACGGATGCTGCTCCTGCTTTAAAAATAGCCGCTGGCAGGAAAGCAAGCCTGGTTTTCCCATCATACCGAGGGAAACCCTTCATTTTCCAAGAGTATTTGTTGGACGTGCGTGCTTCCTGGCCAGATTATTTATATCGTCTGGCAGCGACGGTCCACGCTCGACGGCTGCCAGCTCCCGCTCAGAACGCGTTATGAAGTGGTGAGATTCTGCCCTGCGAGAGAAACAGCCTGTCCGTTCCCGCTGGGGCAGCGCGGCTCTCACTGCCTCTTTTCCCATATATAGTTCTTCCAACCAGGCCAGGAATACCAGATCCCCCTCGGCACAAACCAGCTCCAACAAATTCTGAGAACCAGACCAACGGTCGGCAAACTCATTAGTCAGCAGAGCCAAATATCAACAGGACGACGATTGCGATTTCCTTGGACAGCTACATTTTGTAAATGTCTTCTTCTTCTTCTTCTTCTTTTTAATACATTTTATTGAATTTTTACAGAGAGGAAGAGAGAGGGATAGAGTTAGAAAAACATCGATCAGCTGCCTCTTGCACACATCCCCCTTCTGGGGATGTGCCCGCAACCAACGTACATGCCCTTGACCGGAATCGAACCCGGGACCCTTCAGTCCGCAGGCTGATGCTCTATCCACTGAGCCACACTGGTTTCGGCTAAACTTAAACGTCTTCTAATGCCACTTCTTCCGAACAGATTCACCCCAGCCGCGGTGTTTTTGTGGAAGAGCCACACCTGGCTCGCGAGCCGCGGTTTGCCAACCACTGGACTAGACGGTGATGACGACCATACAACACAAGTTTCCCAGGCAAGGATCGGAAGATTCCAGGAAATGGCACACAGCTGACTTTGAACACACCTATCCTAACCTCCTCACGGCGCCCTGACCAGCTCACAGCAAATCCATTTCTTAGGAGTTGCATGTTTTATATTAAAACTAGAGACCGGGTGCACGAAATCCGTGCAGGGGGGAGGCATGTCCCCCAGCCCAGCCTGCACCCTCTCCAATCTGGGACCCCTGCAGGATCGAGCCTAAATCAGCAGTTGGACATCCCTCTCGCAATCCGGAACCGCTGGCTCCTAACCACTTGCCGTTTTGCCTGCCTGATTGCTCCTAACCCCTCTGCCTGTCTGCCTGCCTGATTGCCCCTCACTGCTCCCCTGCCAGCCTGATCGCCCCTGTTCCCCTCCCTGCCTGATCACCCCTAACTGTTCCTCTGCCTGCCTGATCGCCCCTCACTGCTCCCCTGCCAGCCTGATCGCCCCTAACTGTTCCCCTGCCTGCCTGATCGCCCCTAACTGTTCCCCTGCCTGCCTGATCACCCCTAACTGTTCCCCTGCCTGCCTGATCACCCCTAACTGTTCCACTACCTGCCTGATCACCCCTAACCGCCTCTGTCTTGGCCTCGGCCTCTGCCATGGTGGCTTTGTCCAGAAGGACATCCAAAATGACGTCCAGAAGGTCCTTCAGCTGTCTATTAATTAGCATATGACTCTTTTATTATTACAGATTATTA